ACCTGAATGAGTGAAAAAGGATGGAAGGGGAGTAGTGGTGATATAGGGGTAGCAGAAGCACACGGCATAAGCTACATGATGTGAAGTTTCAAACCATTTGAAGATGGAAGGAAAAACGATCCCAGCAGAAAAAAGTAGAAAGCACAAAGCTAGGAATGAGCCAGGCTTTCTGGGGGAATATCAAAGAAGGCTTATGTGGTTGCAAAAGCCAAAGGCCTCAGAGAAGTGAAATGCCAATAGCTAGATTATATAGGACTTTATGAACCATAGGTATTTTTTTAAAGTTTATTTATTTTGAGAAAGACAGAGAGAGTGAGCAGGGGAGGGGCAGAGAGAGAGAGAGAGAGAGAGAGAGAGAGGAGAGAGAGATCCCAAGCAGGCTCTGCTCATCCAAGGCTCGAACTCACAAACCATGAGATTGTGACCTGAGCCGTAACCAAGAGTGGTTACTTAACCGACTGAGCCACCCAGGCGCCCTGAACCACAAGTATTTTGAACTTTATTCCAAGTACGGTGAGAAACTACTGGAGAGTTTCAAGCAAGGGAGTACCCAACCTGAGATTAAAACAAAACAAAACAAAAAATCGCCTTGGCTGCTGTGTGACTAGCAGGGAGGCTGGGGGTGGTAATGTGGAAGCCACCTGAGCAGTGAGAGGCTGTGTGGAAATCCAAGCAAAGGAGTGGACAGGATTTTAGTGGCATCAGTAGAGCGGGGAAAATGGTATAAAATTTGAGGGTAAAAATGACAGAATTGGTTTGTTTTCAGTACAGGCGCAAAAGGAAAAGAGAGAATTCCAAGAAAATGTCTAATTTTTGCCCTGCAATGTGGAGACCATTCAGGCCAATGTAACTAACCCTATTTCCGTGAAGTCCACTGAGTAAGAGGGTCCTTCGGGCAGCTGTGGCTGAGGAGGGAAGAACCGAAGGGCATCACGTACACAGAGCGGGGAGCGCTTGAGGGGCGCAAAGGCTGCGTTCAGTTTTTGTAACGATGAGTTTGCAGCGGTGTCTGCGGAGCTGGCCTAGAACTCCGGGAGAAGGGTCTGGACTGGGCTCTACCGCACTTCCTATCACCCCCCCCCCACACACACCCCTATCCTAGAACTCCGGGAGAAGGGTCTGGACTGGGCTCTACCGCACTTCCTATCACCACACACACACACACACACACACAC